TGTGCGAGCTTGCCTTTGCGTGATGTCATCCGCTCGACGAAAACGACGAAGGGGTCCAAATTACTTCCACCCACAAATAATTTTGAACACCATAAAGCGTACCAGGTTGGTGGTTGCTTAGATAATAGACATAGACCACCCGACGCGAGAGAGGCGCAGGTTTGGTTGTGCAGTTACTTACCAGCCCTTTTCAGAAATCATGCAGACGTATTTGATCTCTGTGCACCGCACACAGACGGAACACGTATATGACCGAGCTGAAATATTTTAAGGACACAGCATGACAAATCTCACGTACGTGATGCGTCCCGCTCCACGAAAATAACGCAGAGGCACCACGCGGCACGCATGTACGTGGCATGCGTCCCTCAGTGCGGTCACCCTTAGTAGTGTGCCCGTCCATATCTTCGTTTTTAAGACCAATTAGCCTACCGAATTGGGTAGTTGTTCCTCATCCCGTCTCTGACAAAGGATCTTAGGAAAAAATATTCCTATTGCCCAGATCCAATTCTTCCAAAGATGCAAGGTGTCGCATTTCAGATCCAATAACAAAATCCGACGCATTTAAAGCAATCATAATTGCAAACACCGAATCTTAACTTTTCAAAGATAACACGGTGCATGACATGCCACTGGAAGTAGCCCCGTTTGGAGCGTGGGCTTTGGGTCAAAACCGAAATCCGTGAACGTGTGCCGATCAAGGTGGCCGAGCAGCGAACAGAAATATTGATTGGACCCATTCAAGGTTGTTGTGTTAAAGGTAGGATCCAAAGGTGGCGAGGTATGCATGCAAACATACGCGGTAAACGCTAAGGGCTTGTTAAAGTTGGCTAATGAACGCTTATTGACTCGCAAGTGTGTTACACTTTTTACTTTATCACAGTTGTGAGGAAACGTGCTGTGACTACAAATCCGTTGTCACCTTGAAAGCTCAGCTTTCTAGCATACACCGCTTACGAGCTGCTACACAGGTGCGAAAAAACACTCGCACGTGCTGCGTGAGCGTATTTCGAACTCAACTTGGATGAAACGCTAAATTTCTTCCACGCCCATCTATGAAAACGTAAACATCAAAGACAGGCCAAAAATTTGTGGTGTCCGACGCGGTCTACAGGCATTAGGGGGCGGAGCTGCACGAAGCGTACGAACGCGCGCTAGAAGGCAGCTGATATACAAATGTGCACTCCTATATCGCAATTCTGAGCGTGAAGCATCGTATATAATTTAGCAGTTCAACCTTATGCTGCTATCGCAAGAACGAGTGAGTGCGCGTGCACCTGCTGCCTCAGCCCCCATGATGGACACATTGAGACCAAATACGAATTCTAACGAAGCGGACATCCACCACGGAGCCCTCGTGCCATATTTTCCAACTGCAATGCCATATGAGTACGGAGCGCTGCAAAAGACTCGCCCACATCGCTGGCGGCCATTGTTCCGCCAGTGGATGTCCCTGTGTGTTCTGTAGCCTTGGCAACACATGCTGCCCCCACCCCTTCCCCGCGTGGCGCACGCCACCCGGCGCTGCGTGCCTCGAAAGCGGCTCCGCAGCGTGTCCACCGGACCGCCGCACCGAACCGTGACGGTTCGTGACGATCGGTCGGCAGTTTTGGCGTCTGGCGATCGACAGCTTGTGCTCATGGACAGGTGACCAGGACTGATAAACACACAGATCTGATCTCTTTCAGGCGACCGCTATTTATGAGATCTTGGCACACTTATGTGTACAGAGCGCGTCTTCAGCTGCTTTCGAATCCGAACAGCTGAACTCATGCGGTCGAGCATTGTTTGAGGTCAAAATCAAAACCTATGATCGTGAGGCAATTGGCATTTCTTATGGCGAACCCAAACTTTGGTAGTTTGATTTGTCAAATCAAGGCCTCAAGACAGATACGCCTCAAAACAATGCACGCACTCCGCGTGCCCGCGTCATGTCATGGTCCATGTGTCGCTATGCCATGCATCCGCATGATACCAATTACGTCGGCCTTGTTGCGGTCATGAATTAACCTGCTGAAGTTTGTGACCTTGGAATACGAAAATAGGCGCCTCAACACTCGTCATGACTTGTGGCATAGGTGTGCCTGTGCACAACACATACGCGAGACTGCGCTCATAAGATCACGGCGACGTGGTGAATCAGCTGTTCGCGATCACAGCCATGTATGTTCTGTTTAAAGATAAAATCCCGTCTGTCCATCTGTATGTGTGATGTTACCAAGCTCTAAATCGGCTTTACACAGCACGTTGCGGGTTGGTGCATACCTGTCCTGAGTGAAAACGTCAGGAGTGCTCCAAGACTGTCGCCATGGCTGCGAGTGGCACCGCACTCCGGCAACGAGCGCCGGAGTGCACACGGGTCACCCCTCCGCGCGGCCGGGCCCAAGGCTGCAGACACAATAGCGCGGCTGTTCACGCTGTGCTAGAGCGGGTCACAGATTACAGCGGTGATTTCGGTAGTGCAGTGCTGCGGTCTGACAGGCCGTTTCACAGCTTGGTGCATTGTGGGTAGCGCCATCAGCCACATGTAGTTGAAGGAAGGAATGCTGCGGTACGTCGCATATGCGGGGATGCTTTTTTGTTGTGGCCGAAAACCAGGAGCATGCGTGTAAGGCACTTTCGACCATAGCGTTCCTACTTCAGGATATATGGTCAGGGGTATGACACTTCTGCGTGGTTGATTATGGTAAAACAATATTTCTACGAGCTTATGTCATGCCATGAAACCAACTGTGCAAAGTTTAGAGCGATGTGGAGCACTGACCTGGAAGTTCTGAGACGTCACACGTCGCGACCAGTTCTGAGAGGCCACAACACAACAGTATCCTTGTGACTCAATAAATGGCACTCCAGGCGGTACAGAATCATATGTCGCTGAACTTACAATCACACTCCGTACGTTTTGCCAGCATCACAATTTTTATTCTCGTAAATTTATAAATTGGGGCAGTATGACCTTATTTCACGCGACCTACTCTAACCTTTTCGGTCACCTACAATGCTATGCATTCATATAGAAACACAGAGCGATGGGTTTTCATTTGAGAGCAAATGCAGAAACATTTTGCCTCCTAATATTCTTAATATTTCCCTAAGTTTGGTATTCAGGTTGCACTGATTTGTCCCTTGTTGACCCATTGGAAAGAACAGTTTTATGTTTACCCCATATCACGTCTTTCGTTTTCCACAACAAAGTTGTACCAAAGTCAGACATAATTACATTAAACCGTAAACATCAAATGTCAGCATGACACCGTCGCTGAGGGCAACGCCAACACTCTGGCGCTTCAGAGCACACGCTCTGGAAATGACGAGATGACCCGATTTACCCAGAAGAACAATACTATGTTTATTCCATACCATATCCTTTGCTTTCCACATCAAAGCTACGTCGAATTCAAACATCACTACAGCTAACCATTAACGGCAAATATAATCATGACACCGGCGCTTAGGGCAGCGCCACCACTCTGGTGCTTCAGAGTACGCGCTCTGGAATTGAAGAAATGACCCGAATTACTCAGTGCACACTTTCAACCGAGACTGAACATAAATTTGGCGCGAACACATCGACTGGAAGCCGATCTCGCGGCGAAGAAGGCGACGCGGGCGGAGAAGCGGGCCAGTGTCCGACCGGCGCCGGGAGGACCGAGCAGGAGGACAAACCGATCAAGGGTCGCTGACTCGGGCCAGTTTAATGTAAACCAAAAGCCAGGATATCCCGCCCAGACACGGTCCAGATGAAGAACATCTGCGCCGGATGGGCGCGCATGCACCACGAGCGGTCCAATGTGCCTTTTTGCGGAGAGGCAAGGCCGACCCTCTAGCGCTACTCACCAAGTCGTGCGACAGACCCAGCGTGATGTCCTGGAAGCTTTAAAGGCAGTGTCGTATGTTACGCCAATATTTGGGATCAATAACAGACACTGGAGAGCGGAACGGTCTGCTTAGATTTTGCTTCACCAGAAAACGAGGACGTCAGCCTTCGGACCCTGGCACACAGTCTTGTCGGCTTTGCAAGTGATCAATGGAACTTTCATTTATATAAACACACACACACACACACACACACACACACACACACACACACACACACACACACACACACACACACACACACACACAACACACACACACACACACACACACACACACACACACACACACACACACACACACACACACACACACACACACACACACACACACACACACATATATATATATATATATATATATATATATATATATATATATATATATATATATATATATATATATATATATATATATATATACATATATATATATATATATGAAAGTTTACCACTAACATTTGAGCACATACATATAAATGCACGCCATAGATAAGGTGATGAGGGGAGGCCTAGAACTACTATATTCCCTGCCCCTGCATACGGTGGCACGTGATATCAGCGGTGTAATTTGCTATTCAGCCGGTTGCACTCCAGCTCCCCCCCCCCCCCCAATTTGGCCTTCAGCCCCTTGCCATCAGCTTTGGGAAGAATGTGTGCCAAAGAATGTATAGAAATGGCTTAAGTTTATACACAGACAATGCATCTGTTTTAAGCCTCGCGCTATTCAGTATTCCAGTCACGTTGGCATTATGCAAAGCGTTAGCATCCGGCGGCATCGCAGCCCACCGTTGCGCTGTGACTCTGCGTGTGATGGCTATCGCCAGCGGGTAGGCGGGTGTGGAGCACCGTCTGAGACCCTCTGCAGCACCTGGGCGGCGGGCCTGGTTCTTGAAACAAGAAGCAAATATGGCTACTAGTGAATCGCGTTCCGTGTGCAAGTATCCGTAATTTGTCGTCTCGTTGTTAGTCGGTCATAATTCTCGTTGGCTATAAAAGGCATGGCAGCCGTTAGGTGCGCCCACGCAGCACTAGCATAGGTGGACAAACGTGTGCATGTTGCATATACACACGAAAACAAACATTTCAATGTAAATGACTGGTGGCTCCCAAACCGCATTGCGCTTCGATGGTGGCGCCGCCTACATCGCGTGTGATAACTATGCGAACAGCCGTTGTGTGTTATTGCCGATCCGTATGTCGGACCGCAGATGAGTCGTCTAACCTTTCAGCAGTCATCGAAACCAAAAGAATCTGGGTCACCGGAAGCTTACTTAAGGTCCGCTGAACAGCGCACGTTTTGTACAAGCCATCGAAGGTCATACGCGGAAGGCAAGTAGTTTCAGTAACATCCCTGACTTCAATGCGCGCTCTTTTCGAGGCAGTTGTTTGTTTGGTTCGGGAAAATCGGTCAGTGCCCTTTTCTTGCAACGTGAAAGCGTGGAGAGAGAGATGTGTTTGACAAGAATGCGACATAGCTTTAGACGAAAATTGTGATGCTGTTGAAAAGGGTTTCAAGGAGTTGTTAGAGGACGAACCGGCTACTTGGAGCAGCCAGCGAATGAAAGTATCGTACCATGCACAATTGGACTGGCTACTTTTTCCACCACAAGCCCGCCCTTTTGTTCTTCCCTGAAGAACAGACCCTTAGCAAAGCGTGGGGACCATGCAATGTTTGTAAACCACTCAACACGAAATTCACGGTATCAACGGACCGTTGCGATATTTTAGGACGATTTAGAACGCTTTGTGAGCTTATATGTTGGACACAGATGCGTAGTTTGATCAGCACAGAAGCATGCTTTCGATAATGGTAGCACTATCTCTTAGAGTGAAGGAGCATCGTGTGAAACTGCGTTCATGGAACAATGCCCGTCCGTCGCGCTCCGCCGGCTGAAAATTGACACGTCTCCCGACTCTTACGGCTAGACGGCGGAGTTCTGGCGCCTTTTTGTAGGGACATCGTACTGCACGAGACATGTTAAAATAACGTCAACTTCAATTTTTTGCTGTGGACATGAATTTGCGGGTGTGAGAGGTGTAGTAGAACGCGGCTCCTACACACTTGCACTAAATGTTAAAATCCTATGCTGATTGATTATTGAAATCTGGGACATTGAGGAAAAGAACACTTATGATGCGTGAATGCGTTAGAGCCCACTGAAACTGGTGAATTTTAGACGCGTGTTTCAGTCACGAAAGTTACTGCGGCCACGACATCTGGCGTGCCGCATCCCGCCCGAGATCTAGCTGGATGGTTACACGGAGCGTCTCGAAGTGAGCGCGCCCGGACCGAGGCGTGTCGGCGTTGCCTGCAGCCGCAGCGCCACCGGCGGCGGGCGGCGGCGGGGCGGCGGCCGCCAGTCGTCGCGCAGGTGAAGTGCAGTGAGGTGGTACGCCATCCCGCCGCGACGTCGAGGGGGCGGCAGGCTGGGCGCCGGCCGCGCGGTGTCTGTCGGTGGTGTGCTGCGGTCTTGCGTCGCGCCGGCTCGTGGTGAAGCCGACGCTGCTTGCGCGCGGGTGGTGGCAGGGATAATTTGTTTGACGTATGATCATGTCGGTGCGTGCTCGCATTTCAAGCAAAGTACCGACTCAGACTTTTGACCACATGTTTGATGTTTATCCTCAAAGTTGCGGTCTTTTGTTGCATCAGGCAAATATCAGCGAGTCTACTGAGGAGGGACGCATTTAGGCTCACCGAATGCGTGCCCTCTCGCCTCGCTAGACTTACCACCCAGTTCAGCACCGTTGACCCAGAACGGCGGCTTCGCTCTCCGGGAGTCTGCGCATTCGCCAGGCTTTCGGTGCCGGCCGCGTCCCATTTGCCGCCGCTGCGCACCGGACCAGAAACACACCCCGAGAGCCGCGCTCGCGGCCGGCCTCCGCACGCGGCGTCCGCTGATCCGCGCCGCGATGCTGGCCGACAAGCATCGCGGCATTGAGACCCCACAAAGCCGTGTGCTGTGGCGGGCCGGGGTGGCACAATGCCGGACCTTGACCAGCACGCAGGCGGCGCCTTCTCCACCATCCGGCGTGGCGACGCGTGTGTGGCCCGCGGGCCCGCGCCGGGGTCGCGTCGCTCACCCCGTCGTCGTCGATTGCTGAGGCCGCACCGATGAGCGCACCCGTTAAGTCCGCCGGCGGTGGCTGGGGACGCGATGGTTTTGTGGCCTGCTGTTGTGGAGCATCGGTTGGGCCACAGAGCGGGACGGTGTGGTGCTGAGGTGTGCGTGCTTCTCTTGATTGCACATACACTGGAATCTTTCCCTTGTAGAGGGGGCTTGAGGAAAATCGGGAGCAGCCGTCACTTTTACAAAGCTGCCTCATTTCCTGGTACATTTCAAGACACTCAACACAGCAAACCGAAATCGTCGCCGTTCCCAGCCCCTCCCGTGTTCTTCTCGCAGTGGATCAGGGTCAGGCCCGTTCCGCAGTGCAGTCAGGCCCTGATCCTGTGTTGTTTGCCGTCCTCGGTTCTCAGGGACTGGCAGGATCCATATCTTGTTGTCGAACGTGTGACAACCAGACCGCGGGGCCAGACGGGCGGCCTCCATCTCGGCGGCGTTAATGGGCCTCATGCGGCGCGAGCGGCTGATTACGACTCGGACGTCCGTCATCCGCGCCGTACCCCGCCGCCTCTGTGCTGTTGGCTCGGCCTGCACATGTGGGCGAGGAGCGACGCGGCCCGGCGGTGGCGTCATCGCCAGGTGCGCTTTGTTTCGTGCCGGTCGACTTTCCGTCAGCCCCGGCCGCGTTCGCAACCCGACGGGAGTGCATTGCCCCGCGACGTAGGCGACCGCCGGGCCAGGAGGCCGCCGCCACCCACCGTGGGAGCCACGCGTGGCACGCCTGCCTGACTGGGCGGCCATTGAGTGGCTGCGGTCAGTCCAGCTGATCCAAATAGGTATTCGCCAAACCAGTCAATCTCGGCTGTGATTGTAGTCGGACCAGTCAATCTCTGGAATCATTACTCCGCATCGTTTTTGGCGGTCTGGCCGGGGTAATCCAAATCGACGCCCCTCATGGCTCGCAACGAGTACTAGTCTGGCGCCAACTGCCGTCTGCACGTGTCACGCCGGCTGGCTGTGATCTGTCGGGTATGGCCTGGACTCCCGACGCACCCGGCCACCAGCGAAAGTCTGCCACAGTTGCCGGGACCCCGACAATGAACATTTCGGGAGGGCTGCGCTTAGCTGCGTAAGTTATTAATACCGTCGCCGGTCGGGGTCGGGAGGCTTGTTTACCATGGGCTGTGCGTGAGGGGCGGGCGGCGAGGGGCGCGCCGGGTCGGGTTTCACCGGGCCACGGCGGAGCGTCTCAGCCGCTGACGGACCCCACGGCGGCGCTCCGATCGTGGCCGGCTGGCCTGCCGGCGACGGCCGCCGGGCCGATCGGTCAGACCGGGCGCATCCGGCGCGGCGTGTCTCGGCCCTGCCGGCCGCCACTTTCTCCGGCCTGCTGCCCGGTCTCGGCCGTCCGGCCGGCCGGCGGGCGTTTAGGCCGGCCCGGCGGCGCCGGCGCGCCCCGGGCCCAGCACGCGATCCGCCGCGGCACGCCGAGGGCCAGGCCAGGCGATCCCGGCCGTCGCCGGCTGTGGCGGCCGGGACGAGGAGCGTCAGCGGCGCCGCTCACGCGCTGGCAGCCTCACGGCCCCGTTCCCCGAGCCCGTGACTGCGCCGGGCGGCGGGCGTCTGGCCTCTCGCTCACGCCAGCAATCGATCGTGACCACCTGTGGAGAGTGGCACGCGCCGGCAGACCCCGCACGCGCCGGCAGCCCCGTACGCGCCTGCAGCCGCCGTGGGCCGTCTGGCAGGCCGCGACGAGCCAGGGCCGTAACGTCGACGGTGACGAGCGGCGCCGGCTGGTGCGGGCAGAGCGACGCCTGGGGCTCATGAGCATCGGCCTCCAGCCGTGACGAGTTCGTTACTGCTAACGGCTGGAAATCGGGTCGCTCTGTCTCCAGCCGCAGGAAATGGCTCGAGTCTATGACTGGAACCGCTGGCCAGCAAGACCCAACATTGGAATTCCTCCGACCGGGAATGGCTTTTGGTGTTGCGTTTAGCAGCTGACATGGAATGGGTTCGCTTTGCTTCTGCCACCAGTCGGGAATCTGATCGCTTTCTCCTATCGTTGTAGAATAGGTGCGCTGAATATCAGCACGCATTGTGAGATGATTCGTTGCCCGGCTGGGCCTAGCGCTGGTGTGGTTAATGCTCTGCTGTCTCCTTCTCGAGGTCGGAGGAGCATGTTATGTTAGAAAGGTATCAGAACTGGTATTGGCAAGTAATCAGTCATTTATCTGAACTGGTAGTTACTAGGTAGTTACCGTTCGAACTACGTGCTCTGTTGCACGCACGCCGTGGTGATTAGCTGCATTCTGGCAGCGCCAAATACGCTGCTTTAGCACAAATTTTAGCTAAGATCACTGACGCATAGCGCGCTTTCGAGTATGGCCGAAGCTCTTCTGTTGAGAGGGCCTCGGACGAATACAAGCGGATTAGAGCGGGGAAAGGCTGCTGGGAGCAGGAATGCTTCTGTTGGTCACCTTCTAACGCACCGTGAAAACCACCTGCTGCCGCCGGCGGCGTGACACGGCCAGCGGACGCCGCAACTCCCGTTCGGTCCGAGAAACTGCAGTCATTGTAGCCGCTATCCGCTTCGTTCGTGGATGATTAAGTGTGCACGTTGTCATCGGCTGAGCGTGGGGCTGTTGAACCTACTGTTAGCCCGATGTGCATCTCGCGAAAGGAGCTGACTAGGTGTCTTAAAGAAGTTCAAATTTCAGTGATCAGTCGGCGCAGAAAATAAGCCAACCGCGGTACGGACACGTGAGGGCGAGTGCACCGCGCCACGGGGCGCTCACGATGCACGCGGTGTTTAACAAGGAGAACAGCAGCCTGATGGGCCACATCGGCTGCGCGCCGCAGGCCGTGTGCAACTTCATGCTGAACAAGGCGCGCAAGACCCGCCGCAGCCGCAGCGTCTCGCACGTGAGTACACCCTGGCTTGCCGTCCGCCGAGGCCCAGTCGACGCCGCGAGGGCGGAGAAAATGTCCGGCCGCCACTTCCCGATGTTTCGCGTGCAACTTATGCACAGTGCACGCCACTGTGAAAGGGTGTACCTGAGCTGTGTAAGTGATGCAATAGCAGGTACTAAGCTGTGATGGGGCGCACGTGTAGAGCAGGATTGTCTTCCTCGAGATGACGAGTGGCTATGGCGAACTCACAAAAAAACCGTGAGCTCGCATAGTTTGAGCATTTCGTGCCTCACGAGTTGACATGCTCCATTCATGGCTTGCTCGCAACGCATTTGACACGCACCGTATTGAAAAACGTCACTTTCGCTCCAACCACGCACTCACCCGAGCAGGCCACGCCATGAAACGAAGCTGACCGCATTTAGCTCGATAAAACCCTCCATTGTGGGTAACGCCAAATGAACTGTGACGGCCGGCGGGAGCCGCGGCTCTGGCTGCTGCCCTGACTTCTGCATCCTGCTGGGGACCCCCGACGATCCGCTTTTCTGGAAATCTGTCCACCACGTGGCGAGACTGCGGCGCTGCGGGCGGCAGCCGACCTGCGTCCGATCTCACCCGGTCAGCCGCGTCTCATCGAGCCGGGCCTGTCCCGCCGGCAAACCGCCCCCCCCCCCCCTCCCACTCTCCCGTTCCCCGTCGTGCAGGCGGGTTTGTGCGGTGACGGACGGCCGTTTCGCCAGCGCTCGAGAGCGCCGTGTGAAAGGATCACACGCAGCGGCCAAACGCTCCGTCGGGCGTTTGGCCGGGCTGGACCCCTGGGAGCGTGTTTCACCGGGGAAGAGACACACTGCATCGACGCTGATGTCTGCCATCACACTGCGTTTGCGCTGGCTCTCTCTCTCTCTCTTCTCTCTCTCTCTCTCCTCGGTCTCTCTCTCTCTCCTCTCTCCTCCTCTCTCTCTCTCTCTCTCTCTCTCTCTCTCTCTCTCTCTCTCTTCCCCACTCCCCCTCTACCGTTCTCTCCCTCTCTCTCTATCTCCCTCTTTCCCCATCTACTCTTCTCTCTCCCTCTTCCTCTCTCTCTCTCTCCCTCTACCTTTCTCCCTCCCTCTCTCTTCCTCTCTGTCCTCTTCCCACTACTCACCCGAAGTTTCTCATTTCGTCTATTGTTTTATGGTAGGGATGACCCAAGCGATAAGTGGTCCGGCGATAGACATTGCCGGCCACCGTGCGCCGGTCTGACGGGTTTCTCCGGGGCGGGCCAGTCCGGACTCTATGACATTGATAGCAGTAGAATCCCGTATTACAGCCACTTGCGCAGATTCCGCCGTGCGGAAGGAAAACCACCGACAGCGGTGACAGTCAGGTGTGACGTAATTGTCAGTATGGATTGGAAGTGTCGTGCAAGGCTTAGCAACCAATGTTCCGCATCAATCGTTCGTGCCCAAAGCGTGGTGCTCTACGGCTGAACTCTCTGGCTGTGTGAAACACAGAAAGCGGATAGCTAGTGCTCAGGTAACTGTGCAATGTAGCGAATGCACGATATTTTATCCTCTAGGAAAGTTTGCCAAGAACGGCCAGAAATTGTCATATGTGCAGAAAATGACACTGTTGCAACAGTTGCGCACCGCTTGGTTGATTTTCATGACTGCAGCACCGTGTCGGCAACAGAAGCCATGTGATTCTCATATTACAAGGCCAGCACAGGGCAACGAACATCGCCCCAGCGAAATTCGGCCCGGGCGAAAACTAAACGCGGCGTGTTGGAATCTTTCGTCGCCTTTCCATCACGTGGCGGTATGTGACCAGTGAAAGCTTTCTCATGAAGTCGTGTCTCCGGGAATGCTTGAGGGAGCTGCGTGCGGAAAATCAATCACAAGTGCTGCGGACTGAAGTTGTCGTTCGGGCTAAGTGTTTCGTACAAGGACCGGGTGGAGAAGATCCTTTTCCCCACTTTTTGCGAACATTCAACGTCAATGGTATGGTAATGCGTGTGAAGGACTAAGCTGAAAACGGTTCTTGAAACCTCCTCCCGCCACTTTTTCAAGCTTATGCCCCTGCGCTGAGCGTGAAGGTTTTCCTCATTGCGAACTGTCAGGGCTGTCAGGTGTCATGTCGGTCCTCGTTGGCTCGCGCCATTATTTATTGCCTTAACTCAGAAAATCAGTAGTGGCTTTTAAAAGACGAAAGATATCACGTTTTCCCATGATGCTACCCTATAATGGTAAACTTTCAGGCATTCCAGTGAACAACTTACTTTCTAAGCTCTCCAGGTTTATTGTTGACCCCAACTTCCCGGCCGTAGTGGTCAGCTTGGGGTTTGATGTTGGCGTACCGGCTGGGTGTGATGCCAGGGTGCTGGTCCGGCCTCGTGCAGAGCGCCGACGAGTTCTGATGTTGGCGTTCCAGCTGGGTGTGATGTCGGGGTGCTGGTCCGGCCTCGCGCAGAGCGCCGACGAGTTCTGACGTTGGCGTTCCAGCTGGGTGTGGTGTCAGGGTGCTGGTTTGGTCTCGTGCAGAGCGCCGACGAGTTCTGATGTCGGGGGGCCGGGGTGATGCGCCGTCTGGATGTGGTTTGATGTTGGCGTACCGGCTGGGTGTGACGTCGGAGAGCTGGTCCGGCCTCGCGCAGAGCGCCGACGAGTTCTGATGTCGGGGGGCCGGGGTGATGCGCTGTCTGAATGCCGGTCTGATGTCGGCGTCGAGAGGAAGGATCCCACATGATGGATATGTTGCTTTGTCATGGCGCTAGCGTTACGCTAAGGCAACATTCTCTTCCGTCTCTGTGGGGGACCCACTGGCTTACGTCACCGCGCATGCTGCGACATCTGGAGCTGGGGTGATATCATGCAGCCTGCTGACGAAGCCGGACGTCCTCTGCCGGAGCGCAACACATGTGCTCTAGTCAGCCGGCTAGGGACAATAGACCCGGTATTTTTCAGGGAGGTGTTCTGCATCCACGCCTTTTTAAGGAAATCTCCAACATTGCCGTGCAGATTTATAAGTCATTTTTTAACGGCAAGGAATCGCTGGATCCACCCGAACGTTATTGAGATAATTACGTGCTTGATAAAATCCTGCCGAAATGATTTCGCTCACCTCCTGATTAACGAAATCGGCGCATAATTCAGAACATATCGAAACGCGCCAGCCGACATGCCTTTTGGCTATGCACGCGGCTGGTAGCGGCATGGGAATGAAACCATCCGGGTGAGACGGAGTCTGGTGTGGGAAGCGAATGGTCACTGGCGCTCCGCCATCAGGACATATGAGGCGTGCCGTCAGGTCAGGTCAGCTAGCCACCACCGGTCCTGAGGGCTGTCCCCGCGCGGGCGCAGACAGGACGAGGCCAGCCATGGGCGACAGATGGGTAGAAAAACTCATCCTGGAGCGAACGCTCTCTCTTCGAAAGGCGCAGTGAGAGCGCAGGTTTTTGGGGCTGTGCTCAACGTGATCAGCTGGTGACGTCGGTGGACACGGCTGCTCCGGTTCCGGTGGGCTTTTCTTGGCTGACCAACCACCGAACCGGCAGCCCTGCAGACGCCCCGGAGTCTATATATATATATATATATATATATATATATATATATATATATATATATATATATATATATATATATATATATATTATATATATACGTGCGTGCGTGCGTGCGTGCGTACGTGTGACCCACCTGCTGCTCTCTGTTCGCCGGTCCAGCTCGACAGGAGAAATGATCCAAATCAGTGACGTCCGGCCAGGAGGTAAACGAGCGACGCCGCACACTGGGGCGTCTTGCAACATCTTGTAGCTTGCTTTCTCTGCGGCGCGCGCAAGCCGGACGCGTGGGACGCAAGTTCTTGCCTCAAGATTCAGCAAGTGACAACAGCCACAAGCGATGGCAGACAACCGGTTGCCCGTCGGGATTTCGCCCTGCCAGACCCGTCCTAAGGCACGGAAAAACCTTCCGAAAGGTGAACCCATGCCGTGACCTGGTTCGCGACAGCCGTCCTGCGGGCTGTGACCGTGTGTGGAGTGACTGCGGTTGACGCGCTGGTGCTCCGGACCGAGCGGCGCCCCGTGGAGCCCGCTCCGTTCGGTGCTCGCCGAGGCGACCGGGTCGTGCGGCCGGTGCTCGCCAGCCGGCACGGGCGGCCTGTTTTGGCCGGTTTGGCGCGCGCGCCACCGAGAGCCGCCGCCGGACGGCCCTCACGGGTCCGCTCGGCCAGCTGGGACTGGGCACCGCCAACAACTGGTTCCGCGACAGAGGGAAAGTGCTGAGCGAATGAAACGGCGCGATGGCAACCTGTTCTGAAACTGACTTATTTTATCGGTGCTCGCCGAGTGTACGTTTTACCGTCAGCAATATCGTTTTAGCCCAAAACGCAGACGGCTGCATAGCATACGTGCAGAGCAGCTGGAGGACCATTGCTCCGTGACTCCGAGCAAGTTTCAACAAACAAATATATAGTCTTGCACAGATGTAAGTCGTGCTTGGCAGTTGTAGCCCACCAGTTGCCCTGACATTTTCACATTTCCTCTGATCGTTATTTGCCTCCACATCACATGATTGGTTGGAAACGCGTGGTACTTACGCGCACCTGCATGTACGCGACGCGACTTCGGCGTCAAGATTCATGTCTTCGTTTTTTAGAGGGATCTGCCGCCCAGGAGCCGCAGAGTCAGCCCCCATACTTTGCTTCGCGTTGTTCCCACCCCCAGGCACCGGACATCGGACGCATTACCACCGCGTAACAGTGGACTGCGTTGGTGCCGCGTAACAGTGGTGCGCTGATGAAAGGCGTGATATTCGTGTAGTTTTACCAGATGCAACGACTTAATTCTTACAACGTAGGTAACGGTGATCCTTGACAAATTATGCAAGGTTGGCTTTCAACGAGATAAAAGTATTCACGGTATCATTCGCTGGAATGGTGCAGCCGATGTTGTTGCCATCACAACCGCTCGTGTGTCAACCAAGGGATTAACATGATGTCCTGCCCGCCCAGACCCCGTCCAAATCGGGTCAGCGGGGACTTAACAGCCATATCCTTGTCGCCATTTAGGCAGGCAGAAAAACGTTGACAAGTCGTCAAGAGAAGTTGCCGATCGTCACTGGTTTGGAGCACCACCCGGCTTATGTGCTGATGGATCGGCACTTTGTGTTGGACACATTGCGATACCACCCCGTGAAGCTTGAGGGTCACGGTGTCGTGATTCGGTTGAGTAATCCATCATTTCTTTCATGGAGGCATACTGCCAAGCAGCAAGCAACACGATCAGAAATAATCGCCTAAAAGTGGCACCAAATTGCTTAGCTTCTGGGCTCGTTCACATGCGGTGCCAGCAGACGATGACGTCACCTTAGCCAGTCAGTTCGTGTGTGGCCCTCTCACCCTGACCATTCTCGAAGCCATGCTTTCGTTCTCCGCTCCGTGTGGCGCACGCCGTGGGTTGACCCCTGCCCGGACGGCCGTCTGCGGTGTGACCCGAGCGGTGTGACCCGCGCGGCCGTCCGCTCCGCTCCACTGCGTGACCCGTCCGTCAGCTTTGCTCCACTCCAGCCGCGGTGCGGCGGGACCCTGTCAGACGCTCAAGCCGCAAGCTACTGCTCTTTCACTGAAGAAAACTCTTAATACACCCACCCAAGGTGTAAGCCCGCACTACCGGTGCAAATGATTTCGTGAGAAATTACGCCTCTGGGCGGGTGTTGGTAAGCATCTTATAGCCCACCCATGTTGCGCGCGCAGACTGGTGGCGGCGTCTCGGCAACGGACGACGTGGACGCTGCCGACCGTAAGCCTCCATAAGCATCCAGGTGACGCGTGACGGCCGGTGTAGGCCCGCCGTCAGACCGGCGTCCGCGCCCCGCCCCGCGGCCCGTGACGTCAGCTGACCTTGAGCGCCACAGCGCGGCTGGAGCGCCGTGCCGCGTTCGCTGCAAGCTGTGTTCCGCGCCGTATCGCGCCGCAGCACCGGAGCGGGTGTCGCGCTGCGCCCTGACGCGAGCGCGGACTGTCCGCAGGGCCGGTCCCAGCGGCGGGGGTCGAGCGACGACGACGAGCCGGCACATGATGACGTCATGGTCGCCGAGAACGTGACGAAGGTAAGGGCACCTGGCGCGCCAGGTAGCAGCCAGCGTAGTTTACATTGGCTCAACCCTTTCACCCACCTGTTTTTTGCCCCCCCCCCCCCCCCTTAGCGAATTCAGCTGGCCTGTCACCGCTCGCCAAGGAAAAGGGCTTTCACATGACGCGACCGTGGTTCTTGCGGATGGGCGAAGCGGGATAGCCGGAAGGCCCTGCTGTTACATACACGGGTTCTCCCATCATACCCGCTTAGAATGTCGTTAGGACATGTATTTCAATGGGCGAAGTCTCATGACATTACATTATGCGAGTGAACTAAATTGTTTGAGCATTTTCCATTTGAAAATAGTAAGAAAGCGCTGCTGTAGGTGTCCTCTGAGCTCTGTTTATTTCCTAAAAAGTGACCCAAATTTACCAAACCCGTCCCCTTCAAAACAGTGGCATAACCAGGATTTTGCTCGAGAGGGGGCCAAGTAGGGTCATATGGACCTTTTGAGACAAGGGTCTGTCTTTGACGCTTCGCGACACAGTGGTTTATTCGGATGGCCGAATTAAACTCGCAACCGTATTTCGATAGGTGGGGACCCGTTTTTATGTTGTAAGACCTGCGGGCGCCGTAAATAGCCAAAACACTCTGAGCCCACGGACTCAAGGAATCTATCCCCCTTCAGGGGACCATCGCCCCAAAAGCACGCCTACCTGACTACGCCACTACAGCAAAAGCTGTTACGCTTCTCAAGGGCTAACAAAGTGTTGCACTCCTGTTCTAAGTTGAATCACAAGAAGTACAGCTCACCGGCGCTGTTCTCTTTAAGCCGACGGGCGGGGATTCCCAACCCACCGCCAGTAACCGGACCGTCCAGCCACTTCCCGGCCACGCACTCGTCATAGCGCCGCTGCGGCGCACAGCTAAAACACTGCCCCGTTCACCGCACGCGGGATGCTCGTGTTTGTCGGCGTCCAAAAGTGGCGCGTACATTCTAGTCAGACTTTTTTGTTATGAAAATGAGGGGGTGGTGAGGTAATCCGCCTGCAGAATGCCGTTCTGAGGCTGCCGCCATTAAAGAGTAATTCGTTCATTCAAGATCCCTTCCTTGCCTCAAATCCCTTCTTCTTGCCTTTGTGACAGCGCGGCTTGACACCACTGCATTTAAAATGCATGCCTGATAGTTTAAACCTAACACTCGGAACTTTCCGTGGCTATTTCGTCATTCCTATGCATGATTGTTTGAAATGCCTGAAATATTGACGTGTTTGTGCTCCAAACTTGTATTTTGAAATTAACGTATATGATATTCTTAACAACGCAGCCTGCGAACTAACACAAAACATTCCTACGTAATCGCAATCAGACAACCAAACAAACATATTTTTTCAACCAAACGCGATGTGTGCCATGTATACTCAGGCTCCGTTATCCCACCAAAAGTGTTTTTCTGGCTTGTTGTGACCTTGAATCGCACGCATGACACAGCTGAGCTAGAAGACAGTGATCTAAGATTGCGCAGTAGTCTGTTCTAAGGCCTTGGCGCGGTAGTCCGTACATGCACGATGCGCGCAGACGTGGTCTGCTCGCGGCAACAGGTTCATGGGGGTTGGGGGTTATGGGGCTCAAGGAGGTTTATGTTTCCCGGTGCCTGCGTGCGTGCGGCTTCAAACGTGTGAACTGGGAGACTCCGGCTTGAGAGTGGCAGTGTTTGGGATGACGTCACACTGCCGGTGATTTTGGGGAGAACGGGCAAGGTTATGTAACGTGTATTGAAAACAGCAGCGAAGACTTGCGGGCGAGCACAGCCTTTCAAGTGAACGGCAAACGCCGGGCGTACAGCGGGCTCCCGACACCGGGGTTGTAGCTGACGTCATGGTGGCGACCTTGAGTTGCCTGCTCTGTTTGAAGGTTGGCTGGTGCTTAGTACCTTAATGGCCTGTTCGCACGGGGCGACCGACGCGCGTCTGACTTTCGTCTGCCTACGTCATTGTCTTGCAGATGATGTTAAACTTATCGACAGCTGTCACCGCTGCTCGCAGAGCATGGTGGAATAACGCCGTGCACGTATTACAACGCACAGAACATGCGTTGTAATAAGTACACGTACATCAACTGCATGCCAATAATTGCATCGCCTTAACAGCAAAAACACGCCAAAATGTGCAACGAGCTATCGGTCTTGAAGCCATCTACGAGTTGTAAGCTTTTATCCCTATCCTCCAGACACATTTTTCAAATGCACGCAAACTTACACTTATTTTGTGTGACTGTCGCTGTGGAGATAACACGTCTTAGTAAAATATATTTCGAAAATATATAATAATATGCCTCGCACATAGGAACCAGTCCGAGCGTTGATAAATGAAATGGCTAAGGCCTGGCACTCAATTTTACCTAACGGCGAAAATTGCGTTGTGACGGTGACAAAACCGCAATGCGGGTTTTACCCAACAAATAACGCCAAGGGCCAGGAACTAGTCATTATGTTCAGGGCTGGCTTCCAGTTTTGAATATGGACCGAGTCGTTGACTTTAGGCTCGACGCAGTCAGTTTGTCGAAGCAAGCCCGATCCGAAGGTAGTGTTTGAGTCAGGATTTAGGGCGCTGGCATGCCACAGCAATAGGTGCTCGCTCAAAGACGTGCCAAGCCTACGTAAGTGGGCGTCTTCGGGATGTTCATTGAAGCGTAACAAGTGCGTGCGCCCAACGATTTCGCAAACGGCCACACCTGGCCCACGCACTAAGAGGGTCTGATGTTGGCTGTTTAGTTCGAAACGCTTTAGACATGAGGGATCGCTTCACGCTCATAGCCTGTGAGCTCGTGGCTGCGTATAGATTTGCCTCTGCGTCACAGCGTGTGGCTCGACACAGATCCTGTTGCGGTGCGTGATTCCACAGCGCTTCCCACAACTGGCGGGCGGGCGATCAGCCTGGGGCCGGCGCTGGTTCGCGCGACCATCCCAGCTGCCCGCAGTCTCCTCCCCGGCGTCTCGCAGCCGCGTGTGAGTCACGTTTGCGGGAAGGCGCCGACCGTACGGCTGCGCGCCGCGACGCCTCGGCCGTCGCTGAGAAGCGGGTCAGCGCCGTCGCTTCCGCTTGAGGGTGTTGTGACGTGGTGTCCGCCCGCTCGACGGCAGCTCCGGCCGCGTCGCCGCGCGCGCCCACCGCATCCGGGGTTTGCGCAAGCACCGTCTGCTGGGCTATTCGCAGCCGTGGGGTGGTTTCAGCTTGATGTATTCGCACCCGCGAGTGCTCGGGTACCTTTGCGCACTTTGAACCGTTACGAAATTCCGTCGGTGAAGCCGTTTTTTCGTTGCACCATCCTCCGCTCGAGCGTTCTGGTCAGTTTTTCAACTTGAAGTGAACGAACCGGTAGCTGGCCTTACAGGCAAATTATCGCTTTTAATATATATAGTTGTCTGTTCAAAAGTTCAGTTGATTACCACTGCCCATGCACAGGTGGACACCCAAAGTCATCTGATCAAGTGATGTACCAATGAAAGGCATTTTGTACTTAACTGTAGTTGCTCTTTATGCAATACTCAGCGAGCATGTAGCTCGAAGAAAACACAGTTAATGGTAAAGCTAGGTGCCGTTCTTAGGCCGTACTCAAAGCCTGCGGTGTCTGTCTATATCTCGAAAAGTACGCAGCTCAGAATACGGGTTTAGCGGATCAGACACCTCAGAATCACTCGCTCTATGCAGCTGTTCTTGCGCACCGAACCCTTTCCAGATGCTTTCATTATGCTGAACAACCTGGGGTCCCGTGGATTGTGACCGACGGTTTCGCTACATTTGGCGGCAGGGACTGTCCAGGCGGCTTCAGTGAAAGTTGATTGTCGCTCGCACGTCTTTTTAAAAAACTGTCCTGCGTGACAAACACATTCATACTAGGGTGTTGGGACAGATTGGCTCTTTTCCCTTACCGAAAAACGGAGAAGGATGATGATGATAGATGATTGAGAAGCATTGCAGCAACGGGGAAGGACAGATCAGAAAGTGTTGTCACGAGATTTCAGCGACACTGAAACAGACGTTTTTTCAAGGTCATATAACAACGGTTTTTTCCAATCGTAAACCGAACGTGTGTTCGATAAGTTGTTATTCGAATGGCACGTATGCAGGTTCGATTGGTGCATTGAAATGTGTTTTGAGTGAGTTATAGCAACCGGACCGCCCGCGGGCTCGTGTTAAAGGGAACCGTGTGAGAGAATGGTCCTCAAAATTTCGGAGAGCATTGGGTTTTGAGATGCAGACCAATACAGCGAACTTATTGTACGACTTACGAACCTACGGTGATGTTGTAACCAGGATTCCGTCCAGGAGAGGCTAAATCAGAGCATAAAAGGGCTCATTCCTTCTTATATAGTTCTTTTCTGCGGTCATGCAAAATGATGTGTTTCGTCCTTCCTTTCTGTGTTTCGTCCCTGAAACATCCTTTTCTGAATCATTTTTTTCTTTTCGCGTGACTATATTTTTTAGCCGACGAAGTTGGCGTGCAGAGAAGTGGTGCGCTAGCGTTGAATTGTGCGAACTAGGACCATTTACTTGCTTGCTGTGCGCGATATAGACTACATAACCTAGCGATGCTTGTTGAATGTCACTTTGTCGCATTGCTCAGGAATGTAATGTAATATGAGTTAAGATGTTACTCAAGCGTATTGAAACGTTGAATGATTGATATTTCATTGGTAACGAGTCTAGACTTTTACTGAGGATCTTTCATGTATGAGATTACATACATACATACATACATACATACATACATACATACATACATACATACATACATACATACATACATACATACATACATACATACATACATACATACATATATATATATATATATACACCTGTATTTATATATCTACTGCCGTTCCCTCCTGTTCAGGTGCAAGTGTAGGATGTGCCTCCAGCATGGTTGCGACGATCAGGGCTCACTAACCTCGCTTCTGCAGACCGCCATTTCAGTGCGCACGATGCTCATGAACTATTCGTTGTTCAAGAAGAGAGACGACACAGTTTAACTGAAATGGCACAAATTGAATAGTGCGCCATTCATCGGCTGTTTCTATCAGTGGTCACCTGTTGGAGATGACGTTAACTCTGGCGCTGGCTCTCCAGCGGGGAAATCGGCCACAGCTATTGTCACGAACCACCGGAGCGCGCCGGGCACCCCACGACTTCGCTTTTCGCCAGACTTCGCCGTGACCTTGTAGATCCGTTGGGATCAGGTTTTACCGGAACAGCCGGTCGTGGCCGGCGTCGTCTGGCCGGCCGGCACGTGCAGCAGCCCCCGAACAGACGCGTCGGGTGCGCGCCCGGGCCGGACATGGGTGAGAGCTGCCTCGAAGAACGGCTTCATGTAAAAGGTGGAAGAGCAGCGGGTCTTCGGTGTGATGAATTGTCGGCAAGCACGGTGATCGAACGCCCAGCTCTGCGACCAGCGCTTTCCGAGGGGCGGTTCATGTTGCGGCGTGAATATAGCGGTGCGATGTTCTGCCTCGGGGAAGCTAGCGCCCAGTGGAAATCTTCGCTGGCGATACAGGTAGCAGAAGCCGGAAACGCAGCCTTTTTATTATGTGATAGATGGCGCTGCGTGTCAGAGCTTCTGAACTTTCATCCTCTGGTCTGTGCATGCGTTTAAACATTGCTTACCAGGGCCGGCTTTACTGCTATGCCGGGTTGTCATAGGTTTTACACACAAAAACGTCTCCCGCAGCATATTTACCAAAGAAACTGTCTATCCTTCCGTTGTGAAACAACACGTCTATCGGTGAATGAAATTATTGAATGGCGATGCCATACGACCCTGTTATTCCACTTCTTACTTCTTTCTGCGTCATCGCGACGCCCGCTTCTTCAGGGCAGGCGCATGCGCCAGCCACGGGTGAGCTGAGGCTACTGGAGAGGGACCCCGACAGGGTACTCATCGCGCGGCCCGCAGGGGGTCCCTGCGCGGGCTAAGGTTCGACGGTTGGCCTCTCGCGTTCATGGCGACCCGCCTCACTGTTATCCATTCTCATTCCATTCCATTACCCTGAAGTGATTAATTATGGTCGAAAGGGTTCTAATTCAATTACCGAACTAAACTAAATTTGCTCGAGCTTGCTTCGAGCCGCTGCCATGACTAAAAACGTTGTTACCTAGCACCAGCTCAAGGTTTACGCCATTCAGGATAATGGACAGCGGCAGAGGTGGCAGCATATGTCCTATAATGACGAGGATGGCAACTTGATTCAGATTTCTCACTGGCAACAACTGTTCATGCCTGATAGTTCCTCAACAGCGTTGAAAAGAAGCGCTTTGACGTGTTCTTTCAAATGACTTGTGATTTCTCCTAATGAATGTCGACACATCGCTTAAAATCACGTACCACACATTCTTATGCACAATGGTGCTACAAGTTTCTGCTGGATCCGCAAGCGGTGTTCGCTGGCGGCGGGCGTGTGGCGCAGGTCTGTCCTGCCGGGCCTTGTAAATTTGATGGCTCAGTGGCCTCCTTCAGCATTTTTTTTTTTTAGGGCTCCTCGCTTAAACGGATGCGCTTTAAGAGACGCTGGTGCTAGAGTAACGGGCGATTGTACCACATATATACATCCTTGGGCTTATTAACGGAATGTCGAGGTCACGTACAACCGTTATTACACCGGGCGTAAGCACAGTACCTTCGCACTTAGTTTTTGAAGAAGTTAGGTGTAATTATTTGGCTAATTTGGCTAGTTTTTATTTTAGTTTAATTTTAATTATTTGGCTAGTTTTGGCTAATTATTGATTAATTTTTAGTTTGCTTTTGGATTTAAGTATGACTTGTTATTATTATTCTGTTTAGCAGATTGATTGGTCGCCACACGTGAAGCGATCAGATTGCAAGCTGCTAACTTCTGCGGTACATGAGCGCCGCAGAACACGGTATACCCGTGGAGAAAACAGGAGATGTTATGGACATTATGACCAATTAATAGATTTACTGCGTCATACTCGCCGATGTTCTTGTGCCAGAACTTGCCCAGCCACAACACACCTGCGGTGTCCTCACGTGATGGGTAGACGGTAATAATATGACAGATGGCGCAGCCTACGATGTCATCTGGAGACATTGGGCACTGAGACACGCAGCAGGAGGCGTCCGCTGGATCATCCCATTCATAAGATAAACGCTATCCTCGAAGCCAGCCCCGCGAATCTGAAAGCGCGCTAGGCCCGAGGCTGGTAGCACAGCTGGGATCAATTACCAAGCATGTTTCTGATATGGCCTGGTCACCCGTATTGCTGTGCTGGAGTCTAACCATGATAATATTGACCCACAACAGGCAGACGATGAGAGCCCGCTAAAGACACCCTCTCGCCGACAAACCCAGAGAGATCGCGGAGTCGTCACTGGATGTCGCTGCATGCGTACTAACCGCCTCTGGTGTATGTGGCAGGACCCGGAGCGGTCGGGGCGCCGTCTGTCAACGCTCGTGCACGGCGTGCGCAACCTGAAGCGTCGCCTGGCGGCCCGCCAGCCGCCGGCCTCGGGACCCGAGCGGCGGCAGCACCGCGCCTCGCTCGACAGCCGCAGCAGCGACGGCTCGGCGCTCTCCTCGGCCGGTGAGTAGGTCAGCCGGGCCTGGACCCAGGTCAGAGCCAGAGCCAGAGCCAGAGCCAGAGCCAGAGCCAGAGCCAGAGCCAGAGCCAGAGCCAGAGCCAGAGCCTGGGCCTGGGCCTGAGCCTGAGCCTGAGCCTGAGCCTGAGCCTGAGCCTGAGCCTGAGCCTGAGCCTGAGCCTGAGCCTGAGCCTGAGCCTGAGCCTGAGCCTGAGCCTGAGCCTGGGCCTGGGCCTGGGCCTGGGCCTGGGCCTGGGCCTGGGCCTGGGCCTGGGCCTGAGCCTGAGTCTGAGCATAAGCCTGGGCCTGAACTTGAGCCAGAGCCAGAGCCAGAGCCAGAGCCAGAGCCAGAGCCAGAGCCTTGGCCTGGGCCTGAGCCTTAGCCCGAGCCTGAGCCTGAGCCTGACCCTGAGCCTGAGCCTGAGGCTGAGCCAGAGCCAGAGCCAGAGCCTGGGCCAGAGCCAGAGCCAGAGCCGGAGTCGGAGCCAGCAGAATCCGAACCATCCAAACCCGCTTCTAAGTCACGGAAGGCGCATCTCCAGTCGTGCCTCATATGTAATGCAGCAATCAGCGTAACCAGCCAGTTGCGGTGCAAGCTTTGTCGCATCGCGTGCCGGAGAAAGTGGCGCAGCGCATCTGTACCGCAGCAACTGTAGAACTGCACCCACGGAGATTAGACCGGTTTGTAATGATGAGCCGCGAGTCTACTTATTTCTTGGACTGCATGAACCATGAACAGTGCTTCCCCGACTGGCTGTGCTGCCGGCCTGCTGCGCTGCTGCAGCCTGACGATGTCGGCGCTCCGTCTCCAGGCAGCGAACCGGCGCTGATCGACAGCAACCGGAGCTCACTGCTCTCCAACATGTCCTCGTCCTCGGAGGACTCGGACGGCGGGTACCGGGGGCCGACGGTCGGTCTGGCCCGCGCCCGGGTCGACTACGTGCCCAGTCCGTACGACCGCGAGGCGCTCCGGTTCAGCCGCGGCGACACCATCCACGTCATCAGCATGAACCCGAGCGGCCTGTGGCGGGGCGCGCTGCACGGACGCGTGGGCACCTTCAAGTTCATCAACGTGGAGGTGCTGCCGGCCGAGGAGCGGGCGCGTCAGTCGGCGGCGCCGCCGCTCCAGGGCCGGCCCAGCTCCGTGCCGCATCTGCTGGAGCAGCTCGGCGTGCCGGTCAGTAGGCCATGATGACGCAGCTGCTGCAGTGTCGGTTGCCACATTTCGCGTGATTGTTGTTGAGCTGCATTTGCCCAAATTAACTCGACCTCAGGAGCGTGTTTGTCCCGCTGTCACGCGAACGCTTTGTGGTTAGGAGCCTATCCACACTTAAAGAGGTCGCTAACTGGAGCTATGGACAAATTGAGGCGCCATCGGTTTGTTGCGTGACTTTTGTGACGTTAACTATGATAACGTACCATACCATGAAATTTCCATTTTAAACTGAGGTCGGTGTTGGTTTAGCCGCTGATCAATAGGGTAGCCGCAGAAAGCGGCTAACTAGCCAACCAGCCGGGTCGGCTAGCCACAGGAGGTGACTAGCCGACGTGACTAGTGACTGTGTCTGCACGGATTTCGGCCGTGTATTTGTTATGCATAAGTCGGGTCCGGTAACTATTCAGCCTCGGTTTGATTCGCACAGGCGCGAAATTGATTCAGTTAGATTTGTTTTGTAATTACACGCTAACTGTTTGGTGGTATGGAACACGTACCGTAAAGTTTAATCCCAGCGGAAATATCGGGAAATCCCATTGTGAAATATAAAAAGTCTTGACATTTATGGAAAAACATAAATGACGCATTAAAGCAGCTTATCGTTTGTTGAGGGAGATATCGCGGTTGTTATCGTTTCTTGAAGCCACCTTTGGATTGGCAACCAAGGTTAGCGACTTTTACAGGGTGGCGAGATTCTACCCAAGTAACCCTTCGGCTCCTGCACGGTCGTGCAAGGCCTTGGGAAGTTTCGGAAGGCCTGGCGCAGCTTCGGAACTTTGCGAAAATCATGGGCGATAGGCGTTGTTCTTGGGATGGCGGGATACATTGATACTGAGCTTATCAAATCAAAAAGATGATAAGTACATTGCACACTCCGTGCCCAAGCGTGCAACCAATTGTGGAGCTCTGCATTAGTTATCAGCCAATAGCTGGTCGCAAAATCGACCAGCCGTCTAGTCGCTGGATAGGCTGGCCGCCGACGCAAATGCCGAGCAGCCGCAACCAGCATGGCTGGGAACATTGTAAACGGTGTGGTATTTGGCACTACTTACGAATGGGATGGCATCGCCAGTGAAGGAGACTGGGTGTTGTCTATAAGTGGAGGGAAACGAACGGAACCATCAACCTAGGCATGCGCACAAAAAAGAAACTAATGGGCTTTTCATACTAAAGCCAGGATGGAGAAAAGACAGCGAACGGGCCAACGGGCACAGGCGAATTACCAGAAGCATATTTCTGGCTCGGCTGTGACTTTCTCAGCCCTCTTCACCTTATACTCTTCAGTACTGGTTATATGTACGCATCCTGAATCCTTAAGCTTCTGCTTTAAAAAATACCGTCGATGTAGTAAAATGACAGCTACTGAAGTGGACTCGCTACGCTGTCTCGTGAGCAGGCAGACAGAAAAGCCAAATGGCGTGCAGACCATTGTTTTCAAAACCATATTGTTCTTACTTTCAAGGAATTTGTCAAACTTGACTAAATAAGGTGGCTGCGACTGGCCTTAGGCTTTCCTCGGGCTCCCACTGCGCAAGAAGTTCCGAGCAATCGGCTCTTCGTGAACAGGAATGTACAGGTACACTGGAACTGGCCTACTGCAGTCATCGACGATTTGCAACAATAAAAAACTCGTAGTTCCAGTAGTTGAGGATGCAAGCAAAAAGCCGAGGCAACCATGCATTGCATAGCCTTTCAGATGACCATATACACCATTAAGGCTCGGCAGTTTTTGGAGACACCCTTCGTTTTGGGGATATAAGCTAGCGGCCTGATATCACCAGCTTTGACCAACAGCTGATGTGAATGTATGCCCTTCACCAACTGGTACAGAGTAATACCCTCAGAGACCGGAATTGGTAAGTGTCACTCAACGTGTGTGCATAGCAGCCACGTAGTTATATTCGCTTTTGTTATGGACTTAGGCAATGACAGCCATATTCCTTCACCCACGATTGATCTGTATGATAAGCTGTGTTATTGCAACTTAAGAAAATATGGCACCCCTCATTTCTTCCTTATCCCTATTCTTTACATCCTTTATTAAGGTGACAAAATTGTGCACCGCGTAAACAAGCAACGATTGACATCAACAGCAAAGTGACCCCGTATGTATATACTTTGTTTACGATTTGTGTGTTAGAGATGGTGTTTTGTTACAAGTTTGACAAGCTACGAGTATTATGATGTAGAGCCCAGACTTGTCCCTGATTCCTCTTACGTGCAATTTTTTCGAATCCGAACCCAAAAATTAGAGCCGAATTGGAACAGGAGATAGCTTCCCAAATACATATATATATATATATATATATATATATATATATATAGATATAGATATATATATATATATATATATATATATATATATATATATATATATATATATATGCGTCTGCATGAACTCTTTTCAAAAGCCAAGATTGCTTTTTAACTGATAAAAGTGGATAGGCCAATATAGATGAATTATTATAAATTCGTGCAAAGAAACAGAAGCACGAATGTGAAGGAGCATGAAATGATATTCGAGGGAACTTGAAGACATCGGCAAGTCCGGTTTAATGGCAAAGGCTCCTGCCCTCCATATCAAAATGCGCGACTTTGAGCACTCGTATCTCCCATCTCCCCTGGGGATGAGTGAGGTTTCGAGCAGATTGCTCAAAGCTTACATGCTATATTTATATAAGCACAACTTAAATAGTAGCTCACGTTATGAAGCGCCACGCGGACCATGTAAACACCCAAAGGTTATGGTTGAATCATCTTGTGAAGCGGGTATTTTCAGGGTGGAACCAGTTTAATTCTGATTGTCACAAACCATGCGAATCAATTTCGAAACAGACTAAATTGAGCTACCAATGGAGCCGAATCAAACCCAAGTCAAAGCGAAATCGATTCTTAAATCGAATCTGTATTTCATTAGAGTTAACTACAAGTCTGGTTCGAAAAGAAATCCTGTGTTAATTTGACGGTCTTGCCTACCGCATTGATACCCTGGGACTTAAAGATCGGCCATTGTTTTCCCCCGCTCTTGACCAGTTCTCGCCCCTGACAGGAGTACGCGCACATCTTCAGTCTGCACGGTTTCGATCGTGTGGAGGACTTCTACTCGTTGGAGGCGGAGCAGCTGTCCGACCTGGGTATCGTCGACCCCGAGCACCGGTCCAGCCTGCTCGGCGCGCCCGTGCTCTCTCTGCTGACCCTGGTAGGCGCTCCTGCCCCTGCTTCCCCGCCCCCCCCCCCTCCCCCTCTGCGGAACGCCGCTGGGCAGTATCGCAGCCAGTATCGTCTAACGTGCCGTCGCGCTGCTGGAAGGTCAATGAGATGGACTTGCTTCGGGCAGGACAGCTTAAGTCTGGATTGTCATCGGTTGCGATTCATATGTATGGGGGCAACTGCCAGTGATGCGCCCCTGGTGGCGAGGTTAAATCAGTAAACTAAACCAGTAAACGTGACCAAAGCAGATGTACTAAGCCAGTCAACGCTCCCAGTGTCACGATGCTTTCATAGCACAAGGACGAATGCGGAATGAATAATGCATGTCGTCCGTGACTTGTTCATGTTTAACATCTGTGAAACCTCTTACGTTTGCAACCCAAGACCGATTTTTTGGTGAGCCCAATCCATTCCTCGTGTTGTGCTTTCCCGTGCCCTAAACGTTGTGTTGTGGTGTCTTGGTAAAAGGCGATGTTTTAGCGAAATTTAATCGCGCGTATTGCAGGGCAACCTTTGCAATCAGGGACTTTGACAAGCATAGTTTGGTGCGAATGCGCGCAACTTCACAAATCTAGCAAAACAATGTCGGTTCAGCGGACAATTTTCAGCTGAAATATTGTAACGTACGCCGCAATGCTACCGCGCACCGACGTCATTTGAGACGCAAACTTACTTTCTGTGTTGGATATTATCATTGGTGCATGTATCAAACACCCAACGAATGTCTTGATTCATGATTGGAAGTATAATGCGACCGGTACAGCTAACCACGGGATCACAATTTATATTAACTCCGGTTCTTAAGCTAATCGATTCACGATGCATGCCTCCAGCGGTGTTCGTAGACGTCGGGTCCCGAAAAATCGCCTGTCCCGCTCACCCGGCACCTAGCCATGCGTGCCTACCGTGCGCCCCGGCGCTCAGGCGCGTACATCACGGGGCCATGACCAACGCAACCGTAAAATGAAGCAGCGCGTGTGATGTGGTCGTGCGTGCTGAGCGTGGCCCCAGTTCATCCCGTGGTCGCCCGAATGAGCGCGGGAGAAGCGTTGAACGCGCACACCAATTAGATCCCCGCAGAAGTCGTAAATGCTTTACTGGCAGCTTTGAGCAGGAACTAGTCTTATGTTCAAAGACAGTGGTTGAGTGATGGTTTCTGTTCAACACAACTCTGTTTAAGATTTGGACTAATTCGTTGCGTGATTTGCTATGAAACTAGGGGCAGTCTGTCTGGGATGTTTGTTTTACTGTCATGGGCGTTATCAAACTAAGATCGTTATGAAACTCGGACCCATTCATCGTACCAGTGCAACTGTTGTTTAGCGGCGAGTTCTCGCAGAAAGGTTATACCGCGCTTTGTAACATGGTTGCAACATGGCCGCCCTGTTCAGTCACTCTGGGCCAGTGATAATGACTAGCATAGACGAGCCACTCAGGCGGGGTTTTGATAGCGCGAACTTACATGTCTGCCCCCATTGGTCAGTGTTCAGTACACTACCAATTGAACCGCAGGACGGCTGATGGGTACGCTCTGGAAAATCTTCGTCCCCACGGTCACACCAGCTGCCAAACAATGAAATTCAAAACGGTTTTCGCGGATTTTCAGCGCGAGAGATTAGTCACATTGAAACCGAGCAGAGCAGGGGTTGTACAGACGGCGAAATAGAGTACAGTAGCTGACCAGCGAGCGACAGTGTTTCCGTGCACAGTCGTGGAGAAGCACGGAGAAGCAGCGTCCCGGAGCCCAGTGTTACCTGTTCCTTTACACTGCCACAACCATGTTTGTGACCGCACAGTGTTGTGGACGATTTTCCGTCTGTGAGAGCTGACAGTGTTGGTGATCGGCTGTGTGCACCGCGTCACTTTTGACTGTCAGTGGCTGTCTTCAGACAATGCTGCGGCTGACCGCTAACCGCTGGCCCCCAGACGCCGGCAGCCCGCTCTCGCTGTGCGACTTCACTCAGCCGCTGCTCTCGGAGCTGATCCGCGACTCGGGCTGCTACGACGTCTGGCGGCTGACTGAGGAGACCGCCGCGCTGAAGGCCAGCTCACCGGCCGCGGCCGAACGCCAGCCGGCGGGTCGGGAGCCGGCCGACGGTGACGATGACGCCGACGGTGAAGGCGACGCCGACGCCGATGCTGACGCCGACGCCGACGCCGACGCCGATGCTGACGCCGATGCCGATGCCGATGCCGATGCCGATGCCGATGCCGATGCCGATGTCGACGCCGATGCTGACGCCAACGCCGACGCCGACGCCGACGCCGACGCCGACGCCGACGCCGACGCCGACGCCGGCGGCCCAGACTCAGACGTCGAGCCGCCGCCGTCGCTCGTTCCCACCACTGCGGCCGATGACCGCTGCAGCGATCCCGGGCGGGAGGCCGCCGCGCCGCAGCCGCTCGACCCGACAGCCGAGCTTGACGGGCCCCGCAGCAGCGCCGAGCCGGCGGCCGAGCCAACGGCCGACACCGGGGCGGACGTGGTGCACGCGCGGCCCGCCGCCGTTCGCGCCTCCCCGCCGCGCCTGGACACCAGCCCCGTGGTCGACTTCGAGCGCAAGTTTCAGAACGCGCGCAGCGTGTTCGAACCGAACTGCGTGCGCCGTCAGATCCCGGTGGGGGTGCGGTCGCGGACGCACTTCAGCTCCCGCGAGCCAATCACCGTCGAGGACGAGGTGGCCGTGTGAGTGGTAGCGCGGATCTCGGCGCCGCCGCAGTTGGCGACAGTCGGGCGCGTTATGTGACGCGCTGAACTTGGGCCGCTCCCGGAGTTTTATTTTCGGTGGCAGTCACCATGCAGTTATTCTGGAGCTCAATAAGTCTCAACCACTTTGAAGCGATGTTTGCGTCTTGTCACACCAGATGAGGCAAGTATTATATTTTGAAGAGCTGTGATAGCGTTGCCCCTCGAATGAAATGAAGCACAAGACACGTAGCCAGAATTGTGTGCATAAAGACAAAGGGTTTTTAAGCCATGTTGCGTGCCGTATGTGCGTCACTCATAAGGCATCAGTCTGAGCAGGACAAAACGATGTGTCCGCCTTAGTTAGACATGATAAGTCTTCCGTTGTCTGCCCAAGGCTATCATTGTCTGGTTGAGAACGCGGGGGAAGATTTCTCCTTTTGAGGCCCCTCCTTCATCACGTAGGCGCGGTGCTACTGTTTTGTCGAAAGTTGCCTAGAAGTGCGGGGCTCACAGACAGGCCACTCAGCCGTGCACTGCTCTAGAGTGGTGTCGATCTACAACGGCGTCTGTCCGCGTCCTCGCCATCGCCTTGCCGAGCTTGAAGACGTGTGTTCCCCTCCCCGCACCCGGAGGTTGGGTGGTGGGCTTCAGACACTCATACAGAACAATGCTCTGGCCTGCGGGAGTCATGCTAGCCTTGCCTCACTGCGCCGCTGGTCGCTTGTGAACTGACCCGACCACCGGCGCGCCGCCTCGCGTCTGGCCAGCACCGGCTGATCGTCGGCCGTGGGCTGGGTGAAGTGCTCTGTGTGTGTAATGGTGTATTTGTAGATGGTGGACACAAGTGCCTTGGCTCGTGGCGACACGCCGATGGGCTTAAATGGTGGCCGCAATGGCCAGTGGCGTTAATGAACGTGTTTGTCTGTGTGGAAGGCTAATATATGCGTGGCCAATGTTTGGAGGGTATGGAACCGGAATGTGGATGTGAGTCAATGAAGCGAATGGAAGCCGCCAGGTAACAACCCAACTTGTGGAATGCCTCGCTCTACAGAGCATTCCATGCACCACAATAAAATAGCGGTGGCTGGATTCATACACAAATTGACAGATTTTTGTCTGTCGAGCTGCGAAAAGCTGAAAATATTGTTAATGATTTGCCTCAGGTGCTCGTAATGCACATCCACGATACTTGCCATCGCATTTTACATAGTGGGCCGATATGCACCTTCCGCTAACAGTTTACCAATTAGTTGTTCCGCATGAAGATCTCCGATGTGCTGGCTGCCCCGGACGCGGCATTGCATCCCTGTCTCGCAGTCACGACTCGGCGCGTAACGTTCAGGCTCTCGTCCCAGTGACGTCACGCTAGTAATGGAAGATAACGCGAAAATTACCGGACGGTTTCACCATAATTTTGTGACCTTGGTGGCTGCTGTTGAGCCGGTCTTCTTGAGGGATGGGGCGTTGTGGATGCTTTGGATCTGCTGACAAGAGCCGCGGGCATATGCGCCTGCGTGACTCGTAAACGGTAGGTGCATGGATGAAAATGGAGCTTTATGGCTTATTTGTAGTGTGCACCGGAATGTCTATTTATTTCAAAGCAGGGTTTGAGTTGTTGGTTTGACGTGTCGGTAATCTTTGTTGGTACCTTTATGGTATGTTGTCCTGTTTGCTCATTGACAAAACCAGTAGGAAAAATACATCCGCTTCTGGATGCTTGCACGACATGGGTCTCAGTTGTTTTTTCGGACGACTTGCAGTGGTTTCTGCTGTAGGGGAGGTAGGTTATATATAATTTGTTCTTTTAAAAGGGGGTAACAATATTGACCTTAGTTACATCAGTGCATTAAGTCATATACAGTGTTCTCTAGCTTTCAGTCAACAATGTCTAACATTGTTGGCTGCAGCTAACACCCATAGGCCACACCTTTGTCTCTGCACAGCATTGTCAGATGCACAGTAAAAAAGATATATTGCTGTGCAATTAAGCAAATATTGCTGTGTAATATATAGTTTGTTTATTTTTATGCTGCATGCATACAGGTAAACTGGACTCAGACCAGGTTGAATTGTTTTGAAATTATGTTATTCCAAAAGGATGTTGGTTTTTTTTTTACTGGAAACTAAATTTGCAACACCATAGCTTCTTGAAATATTGGCTCTCTATCTCTGTGTGCTGAGATTGGCTGCAATTGTCCATGAAACTTTCAGCGTATTTATTACAGTATGTAGGCACTAAACTTGTTGCTGCAGATGCCATACCAGACAGAACATGTTCTGTCATGACATGCAATTTGTACTGTCTGGTGTCAGCACATATGGCTTACAGTGGTACCTATCCCTAGAGCACATTCTGGAGTCAGTATGTTTTCTAGCAAAGGAAGCCTGACACTAATATACTCATTTGATAACCCGTATCCACTACAGTTACCAGTTCTACACATTATGATCATGCCAACCAGCCTTCAAACACAGCTAGCTGCCTCCCACAGAATAGATGGATAGCTTGATATGTAATACAATCAGTTTCTTTCTTTTTGTGCATATACATGTCACAATTTGTTGATCTTGATTCAGCTAGTTCATGTATGCCTCTATCACCTACCCATTGCCTGTCATCCTTGTCATATCAGGGCTATTTTTGTAAATTAATCCAGAATGAAGCAATTCCAGGAATATAAGAGCCTTTTCCAGTATGAAGCTGAGTAGCTCCAGGCAGTGCCTGTGGGTACTCTTATCAAGGTTCAGGGATATGTTTGGTCTGGAGTTTCATAATCTACTGAAGGTCATATTCATTAGGACTGTTCACAATATGCGGTGTTTGGTAACTGGGTTATGTCCTCTGATTTATGACAGTCAAAGCACTTTTAAAAAGTACATGCAACATGAATTTCTTCACTTGCAAGCCTATAAAATCCAGCATGCTTGACCCATGGTTTGGGAAAAATTGTGTTGGCTTCAGCCATTCAAATGTGCAGGGACAAAGATATTGCACATACACTGGACATTAAAAGGGGATACCAGGATTAGATCCTCAAGTCCTGGGGTTGATGAGAGTTTGGGGTTGATGAGAGTCAGTGTCATATTTTGTTTCCAATCTTAAGCTGGAGCACATCTGAGCTGGAGAAGGCCTTCTAAGAAATTTCCAATGATAGTTTGCATAGAACAAACAGAATGTTCATGTCTTAAAAAGGAGTTTTTGAGAATTTTTGAAAATTGTGAACACTGCAGCTATCCCTACTTTTACAGTTCAATTCTCCACAGAGTGCACGGAACAATCTGTCTTCCGCCACAGCGCTATGAACTAAAATACTGAAGGCACTGTCATGAGGAAGTACAGCTGGTTTTATGTCATTCTGTCAGGGCATTGTTGAAGTCAAAAGTGTGGCGAGTTCTATGTGCCTTTAAAGAAGAAAAATTCGGAAAAATGAGACTTGTGTAATAAATGAGAAGAACCTGGAGTGGCCTTCTTCCTACGTAACTTTAAAAAACGACTGCTTTCGGTTGGCTCAAATCTTCCAAAATATTGCAAGATTGGTGGGTATACCACTACCACCACAACCATTCGGCGAAGCCTATGCTTCCAGTAAACGACAGGTACCCCATATCTGCAATCAATTTTTTCCACTAGTCTTCGCGAAATGGTCGCATATGCGATGCAAGGACGCCAGTGTGCGGCGTTCACAATAATTCGGCGCTTTCCATTCACTGTACATCCCAATGGCACTCTTGTCCCGGCTGCGGCCATAGTATGAAGATCTATCACATCTCCACGTTCGGATGCTCTTCCCGCCTGCCGGTCGCTTGCCTGTCACAAATGTCATGTTAAGTCAAACCGCGTGGCGCGCCTGTCGGCAGGGACGCCTGACCTGCTGTGCCGCCGGTGGCCCCTGCAGACGGTGACCGGTCCTGCTGTAATGGAAGACGACCGCTCGGCGTCCGGCTCGCCAGCCTTCAGCAAGCCGGGCACGCCGAACCCGGCGGCGTTCGACCCGCTCGCGGCGGCAGCGGCTGCTCAGTACCGGCCGCCTTCGCAGTCCAAGTACTCGCAGCTGCTGGCCGTCATCGAGGACATGGGCCGCGACATCCGACCCACCTACTCGGGCAGCAAGAGCAGCGCCGAGCGTCTGAAGCGCGGCATCGGCCACGCGCGCATCCTGGTGCGCGAGTGTCTCATCGAGACGGAGCGCAGCGCCAAGTCTAGGCGGCGGCGGCGGCGAGCCTCGACTCCGCGGACGCGACTCTGGTGACCGACGGCGCCTGGCTGGAGGTGGCTTTGTGGCGGGACTTTGTAGCCTGCAGCTGAGACGTGTCACGTTTGGACGGTGGAGCATTTATTTCGGACGGTGGAGTGCGAGTGGGGACTAATAAGCCTCAAGTAGGGGTTGTGCGCCCCGATAGCGAGTTGTCTCGGTGGTGAGCGAGACGTGACATTTGTGGCGGCCCGGAGAGGTGCAGCAGGTGGTCCGTGCGCGATGGAGTCCGCTGTCAGTGGGCGCCTGCTCTGGAGCTGGGACACCGAGTACCCCGCTGACACGGCCGAGTTCTGCCCGCTGCCGCCCTACCGCCACCTGCTGCTCTGCGGCACGTACAAACTGCGGGACGGCCAGCCGCCCGACCAGGCGCCAGAGGGTGGGTGTGTCCCCAGCGTGTGAACGGCGCGCCACTGCGCAAGAGGACGTGGAGCCGCTGAGTTCGGGGAGTGTGGCTCTCATGACATATTTACTCTCATTAGCACACTCATTATTTGACTTGCAATGCCTCCAGCTCGTAAGCATGGCGTTGCGCCTTTGCTTGGGCGTGGCGTTTCCAAGGTGGTGTCTGGACCAAGGCAGCACATCCGTGTCCGAGCTGTACCTGAAGAAACTTCAGGAAGTTTTTTACATGTTTTTTATTCAGGCTGCCAGGACGCAACACCACCAGGCTTGTACATTGTGAGGTGTTAAGTGCTCCCTCCAGATATTTTGTCATAGGTTTGCCGGACCACAATGCCAGGTTGAAAATGGTACGTTGGTCAATAACAGGTTGGAGTGATAGAGCACAAAATCAATAAAATTGAACACTGGAACACTGGTTGTACTATGGCTGTTTTTCCGTATTTTTCAACGGTGGTGCTATTATAGGTGGACGCGTGAAAGGTGATGCGGAATATCGTAGCATTATCTTGATCGTAGCATTATCTTGCACGCAACGTGGTGCAGAGCCTGGTAATGCACTTCCTGAAAGTTCTGGCTAGGATCGTGTGCGTTGTGATCGCAATGGCCGTCAGGCTTCGTATGCAGCTTTGTCGGGTTTTGGAATCAGCAATACCCTGAAGCTCTTCGGGACGGTTCTCCATAGGCCACATGGGTGGGCACATAGGCTGCATACCGGGACCATCCACTGCCCGTGGCGCACAGGGCGAGTGGGGCCTCGACATGGTCCGAATTGATAGCGGTCGAACGAAGACTCGACAAATGTCTTTCAGTGTGCGCAATGGAAACACCTTCCAGCCGAGGGCGAACATCGGGCAAAGCTGAAATATTGTCTTTAGGGTCGGGCGCTGGTACCTCTTTGTTTTTCCAAGTTCTCGACATTAGTATGTATGCAAGCAGTCACCATGCACAAAAGATGACCTAAAAGCCCAATCATCACCACGCACAAAATGTTACCAAGGAAAATTTGTGATATTTTGTCTCACAAACATACTCAGTTGGATGAATCTGTGTCGCCAAAAACGTTTTTGTTTTGTTTTGTTTGCAACCAAAAGCACTTCATTTCCTCAAGAACCAGGGCAAGTGGTGACTCCAGTCAGTGCCATCTTAGGTTCCCATACATATGACAGCGCGGGTATTGACGCTTCTTCACTTATTGTTCCAAGTGACCGTACTGTAATGGCACGGGTTAAAAGTGTGCATACGTTATGCCGGCCTCTCATTAAGGTATGTTGGGGAAGCTGTGTGGCGGCGGCCACGCAAACGCTCCTGGCCATGGTTAGGAGAAAATGGACAGGGTTGTATCATTTCTGCTTTTTAAAAAAAACTGGGCGACAGATTACAACACCAACCTTCTTTGGTCTCTTCCACCCGTACATAATGTCCACCTTAGGCAAGAACTTGCGGAGTTAGAATAGCGAGGACAGCGAAGCTTTGGCAAAAAAGTGGCATGCAAAGCAGTGCACGATGCTCCAGCGTCTATGTAATAAAAAAGCTTGTCATATTTCAGTTGCGTGAGAGTAACGTGCGATCGTAGCCTTTGCTAAGCACGGTTCGTGGTGTGCCACGAGATGTTCACTCCTGCCATTCAATTGGTGCGATCCATGGGCCGTGAAATGTATCCCGTAGCTCGACCCCTAGGTCAGTTAGGTCTGATGCATGTGTTTCTACGAAGTTCAGCCCTGGCCAGTTATCCGCTCGCATTCCACCAGAATGAGTCGGCGGGAACATGACCCCGATGCGGCTGCCTTTTGGGATTGTGGGCGGCGGGCGGTGCCTGGCTCGCCCACGAAGGACCTGCATTGATTGGGACGGGGAACCTCCTGTTTGATACCGCGTTCATCGATTAGCCAATCATGGTCGAACCACGGCCGCCTGCCACGTGGGCCGGCTAGTGGAAGCTCGGATCGGATGGTGTCCGATGCGAACCATGCCGTGTGTCTGGCGGGCGCACGTTTGTTACCATTGTACCTCTACACTAATCATAAATGCTGACATACTATAATTGCGCATTAAGGAACGTGCGTGTTTTAGTTTTGGGCGGTAAAGGAGTGGGCAGCCTGGCAATCTGTCCAAGTCGGTGTCATCCGATCGAGGGCTGAGATATGCACGTGCTACAAGTGCAAGTGTTGCTGTAGCCTCGCGCAGTTGCTGTTGAACCATGGCTGTTCGGAGGTGAAATAGCCGGGCGGGCGGGCTCTGCGTGTAACGTCGGCCTACTGTTTGCCAGCCTGCCGTCGGGACGGCCGCCTGCACCTGCTGGACGCCGCCGCCGGCCGGGAGCCCAGCGGCTCGACACGGCCGCTCTGCTCGACACCAGGTGGTGCCCGGTGCGGCAGGCCGGCCGCTGCTGCC